CTAACTTTAAAGCTGCTTAATAAAGCTTAATAGCAAAACTCAGTGAAATGTTACTGCGTTGTTAAAACAGTCTCTGGATCTTGGGTTATCCTTTCATTCTCATACTTCTACAAAATCACTGAACCAAAAATATTAGGTGAAACTGACCTCCAATCCATAACCTGCTAGGACTGTATCCTTGCTGTGGAAAAAGTGAAACTGCAGGCTACTTTTCTCTGCTTTGCAACTTACTGAAATATACTTTAAAAGCAAATATATGAAAGAGAGAGATACAGCTTTTACACATGGGATTGCAGATATATCAAAGGGAATGTGATAACTTGTTGAAGAATATCAAACTATATTGCTAAAAAAACACAGATGTGTGGGAACTGATGAAAACACGACATTAAGGATATGCTAGCATTTCCATTTACTTACACCCCTACCATTAAAAGTGCCCTGAGCATGTTATATATCTAGCTACAGTTCTTCTTTTAGTCACTTCAAAGTGGAGGAGACTGGGTATAAACAGCCTCAATAAATGACTTCACCAAGAGAGTTTCCTGTTCATCAGATATGTTTTTCTCACTATATTTTATTTCATGATACCCAAAATTCCTTTTGAAAACACACTTTTTAGATCTTAGTGCTCCTAAGAATTGCCTCAAGCATTCTGTTGCATAAAAATGTAGATTCCTAGTTTGTGGTCCTGGTAGAAGTAAATAATTACTTGACTAACATTTTGAGGTGCATCTAATGATTGCACTATGCAATTAAGAAGGACGCAATTAATTAAATACTTTGACTTTTTCCATAGCTTGCCATTTTCTAGGGCAACCAATGTTAGTCTAATTGTCAAGAGGAATTCTGTAATTTCCAAACTTCAGGCTATTCTGTAATTACACCAATAGCCCATGACTAATGCATTTTTGGCAACAAAGCAGTCATTTCAGGGAATGAAAAATTGGAAGAAGTTCTTTCTGCCAACCAAAGGATATCCTTTTCCAAAGAAGAATTCCTTGTGAGTCTTTCAGATTAATTAGCTTAAGTTTTCCATTGCTGCAACAGGTGAAGGCAGCTATAGCCACACCAAGTATGCAGCTATATTTTTGCCTTATATATATGGAAAGGTTTCTCATTTCCTCTTTCTGGTCTAGGACAATCTAATGAATATTAAAAATCCTCACTTCTACTGAAATGGATTTGTTTTAGATGTGCCACTATTTACATAGTAAGTCATACCAGAGTGATGTCTCAGAATTTTCTCTACAATGTAAATATTTCAGCACATTGCTTACTGTATTTAATTTTTATTTATGCCTTACATGGAGTTGTAATCAAATTGGTTTGAAATGTTTCTTGTAAAATCATTGTATAAGCCATATTTCTTAAGTAGAAGCATGTATAAAAATAAACAGATTCATTTTCTGAATTATATGAGTTTATGATAGTACAACAAATCCTTCAGTGTTTTTAACATGATTCTATGACACTTATCTGGGAAATTTGGATTGTATCAAGTATGTATCAAGTAATAATGTTCCTGTAGACACCTAATAAATCAAGCTGCAAAATAATACAATCTGAATTCTCACCCCAAGATTTAAAATCTCTTTCAGGGATACATTAAATAAGGTTTATGTGTATTTAATTTTTTATGTTTGTATATTTTATATAAAGATTTTTTTCTGAACTAGCTAGCTCCTGGTGAAAGTAACACAAAATTTGATACATCTTGGTAGATATTGGTCCAAAAATTTAAAATATTAGTTGATCCCAAGTTGTGAACAGTGCCCTTTCTCCTCTTACACCTCTTGTTCCTGATGCAGTAACTTCAGAGCTATCACCTTTCATGGGCAATTCAAGCTATGACATAAAATGCTACATGATACCATGTTTTCCTTCAGCACAACTGTCATTCACTTTGACAAAACTGTGACTGCACATGTTTTTGAAATATAACAATCCAAAATAGTGGGCCCAAGCTATGGCTTGCAGACCTAACTTGGTCTACCAGAATAATTTCTGTGGTCATGACTTGCTCCTTCCTAATATCGTCCCTCACATCTTTGCAACTCATACTCTGTTAGCAGTAAAAAGTGTATTCCCTGCATGAGTTTACTTCCTTCAAGCGGATGTAAAGGAATCTATAGCAAGAAGACTGCAGGCCAGATGGAGGCACTTTCTGTGAGCCTGCAGTGGCCTAAGAATCATTATTGCTGACATGGATTAGTAAATGCTGCACTTCCCACCAAAGGATCCTCACAGTAATGCTGGCAGAACTAATATCAGAGCTAATAGGTTCTTAATATAATTTTTCTCAAAAAAGTCCTGCCTCTGCCTCCCAAAGAGCAATTCAAAAATAACTATGGCAAGTTTCCAGGAGCTTCAGAATTATTTTAGGTCCTGATTTGTGGCTTAATGTATCCTACCCCCCATTTTCAGGGTCCCTATTCAGTATGGACCAGCTGCATGGACCTAAATGAGTCATACCTTCATCTCAATAAGATGACTCACAGGTTTAATTGGGTGTGTTTGCATGATAATAGTCCTTGAAATAAAAAAATGAGACAGAAGAATCATAGTTTCAAAACACAAAATAGCATTTCTCAGTTGCTTGTGCCAGCACAAGGAAATATCCTCAACCTACATTGCAGGCCGGGAAAAAACTCCTCTCTGGCAAAAATTCTTTAATATCCACTATAATCTATATGCTTTATACGCATACAATCTATGCTCCCTATGTGAGAGCATCTTTCTACAGAAACACCTTTTCCTGAAGCAGAACACTACCCCAGCTGTTATTCTGTGCCTCTCAAGTTTAAATGAGAAAGACCAAAATTAAAATATAAAGATAGGCAAAAAAATCAGTTCAAATGATAGATGAGATAATGAAAATCCAAGTAATTAGATCCATCTAAGGAAATATAGGAGCAGTATTAGTTGACATAATGCAATAATTTGAACCCATATGAACTAAACCTATAATTCTTATTCCTATTACTTCAAATTTCCAAAGGTAAAAAAGGTAACAGTTGTACTTTTAAAAGAACAGGTTAGACAGTATTTGCTGCAAATTATTCACTAAATCAATTGTCTACCTGGGGAAAAAGGAAAAACAAACAAAAAGCGTTATCTTTTTTGGAGAACAAAGTGCTTGTCCAGGAGCTGTGTGCTCAAGAGTTTGACTCATTTTTTTAAGTGTAGTGACTGGAAAGATAACTGCTTTTCCCTACGGATCTTGCCTTGCTTATATCATCGCAACTGCATCATCCATGGTACAGGAATATCCCATGATTCACTGACTAGCAAGTCTGAAAGGCAGACCATTTTGTCTGGCATTTTGCCTAGCAATGTGCCAATTTGGCACATTTTCCAGGGTGTGTGAGGTTGTTTCTTTTCCCTTCAGATGGTAAGAGTGCGCTGGGAAGGCTCGCAGGAGCCAGCTGACAGTGCCTCTCATCTCTGTAGCTGTATCCACTGTGCACAAGGGAGCAGCTACCAGCTCCACCCAAGTCTTGCTGAACTCCTGTGCCCTCACTTGGGTGTTTATCCAAAGATGCTCCATGACCATGGTCTGTGTCACTCAAAATCTGACTATTGTTGTCTTTCCTTCCTGAGCTATTGCTCCAGGGGACAGAAAAAGGCAGAATTAGCTATTTTAAGGAGCCCAGGTGATGGATAAAATCAAGGAGTTTCATCCTGTATGTTCGTAGGGACTGGAAAAGCATGTCCACCAACTAGTTAATTTTTTTTATAGGTTAGACTGTAATATCAACACTGTCACTTAGATAGACCTTTATGTCCTTCATACTCTCTTGTGGTCACTTTTTCAAGTACATTTTCTGTGATTATAAATACAGAACCCTGTAGCTTTTAGAGTGACAGCCGGAAATTCATTCCAGCTCAGAGTACAAGGTTCTGCACTTTAAAAGCAGCAACGGAGGGGCAGTGTAAAGCATGTAACTCTGTTAGACATTTCCACACAGATTTTTTCCAGTTCTATGAAAGTAACTGTATTTGACAAAAATATACACAAGCTGAATCCACATCAAAGACATATGTGCTCTTAGTATAAAACCAAAAAATTAGTATTTCATCTTCTTGTTCTACTGAACTTCCAGCCACCCTGTTTGCTGAAATGCCTTACTGAATGTACAAGCATGCCCATTATCCTTTACAAGCTCTAGTGCAGGGTTTTGTTGACATTATTATTATTATAATTCCGGATATATGCCCTACCTGTGTTTGTATGCAAGCAAAGAGTGCACTCAAAATCAAATGCTCTCATTCAGATACAGGTAGCAACCTGTTATGCTGGAGACACATATCTGCAATTCCCCTGCTGTACAGAGTTTTTATTCTGCTGTTGACTCTCAAAGCTATCTGTCATTTTCTTAGGCTGATTTGCTGGTTTGCCCAGATTATATTGTTTCTACCATTGTATTTTGCAAGTGCTTAATTGCAGTACTTAAAGATATGCTCTTAATTTTTATAACTGTTTGTTTGTTCCCTATCACCCTTTAACCTTTACAACCCACACGTATTCTCGTGTAATATACGCTTGCAAATTTCCCATCAGGGGAGTATAACTCCACTGGAGCACGTTGAATGTATAAGCGTTGTAAAGAAAACAAACCCTTTCTGCACCTTGCCATTAGTAACATCAGAGCAGAAGCGACCTGAGAAGCCATCGAGCCTCAGCGAGGCTCCCGAGAAAACATCCCTCCAAATAGAGCCCTCACTCCACGTCTAGACTGTTTCTTTCCTTCTGGCAATGCCTCAAACCGTCCCAAAGTGGGTCCGAACCTTCCGGCATGCGAGCCACGCTGACCGGGCGTGGAGGTGCCGCGGAGCCAGGGCGCATCGACCGTCGCCCCTCGGCTCAAACCGTGGCCGCGGGTCGAGGAAGGCTCGTTCCGCTGGTAGAGGACAAGCCGGGGTGTTTGTGGTACACAGTCCTCACGCAAGAGTGGGAGGCATGTTAAGGGAGCTGAAGAGTAACAGTACAGTCAGCGATGCCCGAACTCCGCGCTGCACTGACGGAAGACAACTCGCTTTGCAGCACGGCTCCCTCCGAACCCCGCGGGTTACGGCCCTGTCGGGCATGCGGGCGGCCCACCGTGGCGGGCGGCGGTGCGAGGCTCGGGGCCGCTGGGGCGCGGCGGGGCCCCGCCGGGCACACCCGGCCGGCGCGGCGCTCCCGGGGCGGGGCGGGAGGCGGAGCCTGGGCGCCGCCGCCGAGCCCCGCAGCGGGGCCGGGCGCTGCAGCCGCCGGAGCTTCGCCTGGCCTCCTCCCTCCCGAGCTTGCCACATCGGCACCGCCGTTCCGACAAGGCGCTTCCCGGAGCGGAGCGGGAGCCCAGCGCGGGGAGATGGAGCCCCGGTGCTGCCGCCGCCGCCGCCCCCCGGGACTCGCGCTCCGCCAGGGCCGCTGCTGCCACTGCCGCCACTGCCAGGACGGAGAGAGCGGCCCCGCCACCGTCTAACGCCGCAGCCCCGGCGGCGCGGCCGAGGCGGGAGGCGGCGCGGAGGCCGCCCCGGCCCCTCCGCCCGCCGGGCGGCGGCGAAGCGCGGCCCCCTCCTCCCCGCCCTCCCCGCCGCCGCTTCCCCGCCCCCGCCCGGCCCTCGGCCGGGCTCGGCAGCCGGGCCATGGCGGGGCGATGAGGGAACGGCCGCCCCTGCCCGCAGGCTGCGTGGGGAGGCGGGGAGCGAAGGGGCTTCGCGGCTCGGCGGCGCTGGAGCCGGGCGGCGGGCCGGGGGGATGCTGGGCGCGGGGGCCGCGGCGCTGCAGCTCCTCTCCCGGGCCGTGAAGCAGGCGGCGGCGCAGGGCGCCCGGCAGGACCTGGGCCGCTGGCTGTCCCGCGCCGCCGGGACCGCGGCGGGAGGCGGCAGCGGAGACACCATCGGCTTCGTCCCGGCGGAGGCGGCGGGGGCCGGCGGGCTGCTGCTGGGGCCCTGCGCGGACGAGGACGGTCTGCCGCCCGCGGAGCTGCTGCTCTGCCAGCTGCCCGAGCCGAGCGGCGGCGGGCATGGGCTGGCCGAGGCCCGGGGCTGGCGCTGCTCCTGCTGCCTGCTGGGCACCTGCTGGTGCAAGAGCTGCCTCAGCCTGTGCGTCCTGGCCGCTGTCTGCTTCGCCTCGCTGGCCCTGGTGCGCCAGTACCTGCGGGACCTGCTGCTCTGGGCCGAGAGCCTGGACAGCCTGGCCGGCGTGCTGCTCTTCACCGTGGGCTTCATCGTCGTGTCCTTCCCATGCGGCTGGGGCTACATCCTGCTCAACGTGGCCGCCGGCTACCTCTACGGCTTCGTGCTGGGCATGGGGCTGATGGTGTTCGGCGTCCTCGTCGGTACATTTGTCGCCCACGTGGCCTGCAAGCGGCTGTTGGCCCGCTGGGCACGGGCCAGGATCCAGGGCAGCGGGACGCTCAGTGCCATCGTCCGTGTCGTGGAGGGCGGCAGCGGCGTCAAGGTGGTGTTTCTGTCGCGGCTGACGCTGATCCCCTTCGGGCTGCAGAACGCCGTCTTCGCGGTGAGTCCCTGCCTGGGCTGTGCGGCCGAGGAAGACAAGTGCTGGCAGGATGTCTTTCGGCACAGTGGCTGCTGTTATTGGTAGAGGTTGCCTCCTGTCCTGGGAGCAAGCCATGGTTTCTCTCTTTTAAGAACAGTAAAAACAACCCTCTCTGCCTATGAGATCTAAAAATCTCAGGCAGATTTTTGAGATGCCTTGCTCACTGGCTTTGTCTTAGAGTTGCTCTCTTGTCCTTCAAAACTATATTCTGGTGTTAGAATCACCAAGGTGCTGCATAGCAGAATCTGTGGAGAACTCAACAGTTATGATGTGTCTGTACTTTTGAAGGGATCTACTTTAAAACGTGGTAAGAGCTGAGGAAAAGTCTTGCCAGATCTTCCTAAACTACTTAATATAGGTAATCATATTGGAAAGAAAGAAGTGGACAGATTAAAAAATTTTCTCGGTGTGGTTGGGGCAAATCCATACAGGATGCGCACAAAGACGGGTTGCAGATTTTGGGCAGAGCAGCATGTAGTCCCTGAAAAGGGACTGTACTCTGGTGTGGCACTGAAAGTTAGTTTAAACTTGAGTCTGGATAAGGATTGGTCTTGCTTTTCTTTCTAACTTCAGGTGAACATTGGTACATTCGTTTGGTCTCTTTGATCATCTTAAAGGAAAAAAATAAAGAAGAACATGGAGGGTGGTTTGAGTATTGTCATGCTGCTGATGACAATTTCAGACCCTCTTTGCTTCCTGAGTACTTTGTCTGAAGGATCTGCTTTTGGCTCTCTTGTGCCTCAGTTATATTTACTAACTTGGTGAAATCAAAACAAAGCAATCTGGATTGTGAAATACTTTAAATGTTATCAGTAACTTGTATGTTCTTTAACATAAGTGGCTATCTAAACACATGTTTTGATCTGCCACTTTCTTATAGCCCACTCTGTCTGCAGTCCTGATCCTGTACCCTTCCAAAGCACTTGCTTAATTTTGACAGAATCATCTGGCTGCAATTAGTAGGTCACCAAATACCAATTTTTTTTTAAAGTAAAATTCAATCTATGCAAATTTGGGGTGTAACAGCCACACCAAATATTTTAAATTGCAGTATATAAAACAGTGTACTGGAGCATTCATCTCCAGACCTGTGATCTCTATCCATAAGAACTGTAGCAACTTGTAATTTTTTTTTAAGAAATCCTTTAACCATTTTCTTGTTAAGAATGAGAAACTGAACAGCTGAACCTTTGCTGTTGTATTTCTCAAACTGTATTACTGCAGGCTTATATTACATATATTACTGAAGAGACTTAGACCAGCTGGGAGAGCAGAGTCCCTCCTGGAGCCAAGGTCCAGGGTTGCAGTTGAAGCTTCTGCTGTGCTGTGACCCTCCTAAAGTGGAGAGAGCTGTTTGGCTCTGCTTGTTCACAGCTTTGGGAAGTCCCTTGCAGTAGTCAGTAGATGATATAGAGTAGTATTGGATCTGAACAACAGACCAGAAAATTACCAAGTTAAAACTATTTCCTTCCTGGCATAACCCTTCTGTTGGAAACACGATTCAGCAGAGTATTCGGGCCAGTTCAATATTGAAGTGATGCTGTAAATCATTGTAGTTTGTATTCTCCAGATTCTGCAGGGCTAAATAATTTTCTTTCCAAGTGGATGGTTTCAGTGTTAAAATTATAGACAGGAAATGAGATGAAACCAGATGCTTGAGTTATGCCAAGTAACTTGGATGTTTTTTGCTAATTTTAGTTTGGTTATGTTTATTATTCTTGATTTACTACTTTATAGCATAGTCAAATAACGCACAGTGTACACTATAGTCAAATAACACACAATGTACACTATAGTCAAATAACGCACAGTGTACACTCAATTTTTCACTCAAAACATTTAATATGAGCCACTAGATCACCAAAAAGTGATGCATACAAATCTAGGAATTCAAGACCGTTTCTCATTTTGAGTCAAATTTAAGTTAGGTAAAAAATACAGTTTTCTGCCTACACAGACCAAGCTGTCATTTCCTTGAAATTTCACTTATTTGAAAACTTAACACTCGTTTTAAGTTTAAAATGCATTTCCCCATGCTAGCAGCTTCAGCAGTGAATTTTAAAAGTATTAATTTTTAAACAACAGTGAATTTAAGGAAGAGTACACATCTTTAACTTTCCAGTGGTCTGGTCTATGCATGTTTACTATGTGGATATTTTTAAGTAAACTGGAGATACTGAGAATACTTAAATGAGAGAGAAGGAAGGAAGTGACACATGAGGTTCAGGGAAAGGCATAACCTTGATGTGAGCGGGGTCATCTGCAGGGCTGGGATTAAATGATTTCTACAAGCACTTGTTCAGTGGCATGTACCATCTGCTGAGGGCTTTCGGGAGGTTGACTTGTAGGGGCTGTAGAGAAAGATGGGGGAGCTTCTTAGGATTTGATTAGTGAGGGAATCATATCAGTTAAAATGGCTCAAGAAGAAAATTAATACAAATTCCTTAGCATTTCACCAGCCAGACTTGGAAGATGTTGCTTCTTAAAAGGTCTTTCTGCTGGTAGTAGAGGGGTGAAGTAATGCATTTGTTTGCCTTTCTGGAATAGCACTTGATAACTGGAAGCATGTTTGTATTTCTCTTTTGAGGGAGTTTTGCTTAGTTGTCACTCCTGATGCCAGAGTGGCCTGGGCTGCTGGGGAGGGTTGATAGCTCTTACTGATGTGTTTGCCCACGCACAGCTCTCTCACCTTGCCAGCTCCAAAGTGTTTTGAAGGCAGGTCTGTAAGAAGGCCTGGTATGCAGCTTATCATCTCCTTGCCACAAGTTTGTTCTTGGAGTGAGATTTGTGCAACCCGGTTATTTGTAGTGCCAGATGTAGGTTAGATGGGATTTCATACTTCCCCTCCCTTCTTTAAGGGGAATATTACATGAAATAAATAATCTGATTAAAAAATCTGAGCGTTCAAGTGTGCACCTCTGGGTTCAGAAATGCATACAACGAACTCAGAGTTGAAGAAATGGTACCTCCTTTGCAAGAACATGCACACTGCTTCCTCTGCTTGTTGGAAAGTCTGCAGCTGGTTAGGTTTTTTGTATTACTGGGATTTTTTTTAGGGGGTGGTGTTGGCTTTTTTTTTTTTTGGCGGGGGGGAGGCAGGAAGAAATATTTCTAGGGAGTTTTGTTTTGGGCTTTTTTCTTGAGGAAAAAGCACAGAGTTATCCTTTGCCCTTGGTCACAAAGCCGACCTGATCTGAAACACAGGAATTTGTAAACTGAGGGAAGAGAAGTTGTGCTGCAATCTCTAAAGGCATAAGAGCCCTCAGCAAAGTCTTGACAGAAGCATTTATTCTTTGACAGTGCTGAACCAAAGGTGCCTGCTGCAAAGGATGCACAAAAGTTCCATGAGACAAAGCCCAGCCAAAGCTTAATTTGGGGGGGGTGTGAGGTGGGGTATTCTGGCTATTGTTATCAGTGCAATTAAGTAGTTCCTACTTGTATTTGAATACAATTTAAATAAATTTCTGTTATGGCCCTTAACACAATTGCATCCATGCTTGGTTTGGGATTTCAGGGTTAGTTTTTGCTGGCTTGAGCTTTCACCAGAAACAGAGCCCTTGTAGGCTCTGTTAGGCAGCCTGGCCATGCAGATACCAGTTTGGTAGGTTCATAAAACAGGTAAAGCTCCTAGAATGAAAAGTATGGAAAGCTGTAAGTTTTATTGATGATTTCTCAAATTTCTTAGGTGGGGATGCTGCCCACTTCTTGTGCATTCTGGGGAAAGGGATACAACTGTAGCTCTAGAGCTACAGTTTACTTAAAGGGACATCTCAAATTTTTTTTCACCCTCTACTTAGCTTTAATTGCAGTGGGAGGCACAAGCTGCAATTAAGTGTATTCACTGGGGCAGCCTCCCCTTCATTTGGAAACAATCTCATGACTCAGGAAGTCCAGTTGTTTCGGGCCTCATCCAGGTGTGCAGACATGTTGCTCTGCAACTGAAGTGTCCTTAATACATCTACAGAAATGAGAGAGGTGCCAGGAGTATTAAAGCAATCTTTGGGAAGTTTCCCAGCTCCATCAGATGTAATGATAGTGTCCTACTTAGCAAATCTTGCCTCTGCATTAGTATTTCAGAAACTTTTAATAGCAGCTCCTTCATTCCCTTGGCAATATGGGAACTTTGGACTATGCATTCTTATTACATGGCCCAGATTACAACAATGCTTTGAAAAGTCTTTTGAAAGTATTGGTCAAATGTGAAGTTCTGACATAATTATGTAATCCTTTTTCATTATAAATCTAAATTAATCTTGTCTAGAGAAGGAAATCTAATATTTGTGGTGCTGGTATATATTTCAGTCTGTGGGAAGTATAATATGCAGTGTGAAGTTTGGAAATGGCTTATTGGATCTTGTTCCAGTGAATTATTTTTAATCTTTATGCTTCATTGCATTCTGCTCCTCCATTGCCCTTCCTCCCAAAAACTTTCCACTGATGGTGGTTAGAGCTCTGAGAATTCAGCACTGTGACTTTCACAGTAACTAAAGTTTATTTTAAGAATAGCATGATAAAATGAGTAACATTGCTGCTATTCTTTGGTCCTCAACATTGTACAAAACCGGCAAGGTCAATAATTTCCACGTAGGCTCTCAGTGTTAGAGCTGTTCTTAATTAGATCTCTGTTACTATCAACTGAATTATCTCAAAAATTTGTTGGAATGCTTGTTTTCAAAATCATCGTTTTCATACTAATTTTTAATCCAGTTTCTTCTTGTTTTCTTTTTTCTTGTGTAAATATCTTTTAATCTTGTGATGCTTGCCTTTAATATTTCCCGATGGCTGCTGATACTAATTTAGCTGGAACTGTGTACTTTGTTCCCATGTAAGCTTGTACGTCCACCTATTGATACAGAACAGAAACTTCACAGCAGAGAGAAGAATATAACAATGTATTATTAGTGTTTTTTCCAGAGAAATTAATAAAACCTATAGCTGTGTGTACTATTTAATTCACTAATTGAAGTGAGATGCAAAATACCTTTGGTAGACAATGATACACGTATATCAGCATAGATACAAATGACTATTGCTCATAGGGGTCACTAAAAGACGTGTGTATCTTAATAAGCTCATAACTTGCCCAGCACAGACAAATTGTATCTGCCATTCTGTTTACCTGGATCCTATTTAAAACAGTGACATTTTGAACAATTACCCCTTGTATTATTTGCCATACACGTAAAATGCCAAACAGATAGATTTTTCTGTTAGACTTCCACATTCCATATAATAATTTCTTCTCACAAGTAAATTCTTATAAATCCAAGGGCTTCAATCACCAGGTAAAAATAAGTATCTTCCGTGAACAGTGTAATTGCACCCCTAGTTACTGAGTGTTGCAGAGATGTTGTGTAATATAAGGTGAAAACAAACCTAGTAACTTTAAAAAGGACAGATGAAAACTAGAGACATACTGTATCATTCTATTATCTTCCCCCTGGGCATGAATCAAAGTTTCAGTGAAGGAATGTAGGATATTTTTTCATGATTTTGCAGGGATGGTTATGGGAAGTGGTAGTTTGGTTGTTTGTACACATAGATTGTGTTTGGAGCTGCTTTTGATTTCTTACTCTTTCTTTTTACTCAGATTACAGATTTATCACTACCCAACTACCTGATGGCTTCTTCATTTGGGCTGCTTCCTACTCAGCTCCTGAACTCGTACTTGGGCACTACCTTGCGCACCATGGAGGATGTGATTGCAGAACAAAGTGTTAGTGGCTATTTTGTATTTGGTTTACAGGTCAGTTAAAATAAGTGCTTTCATAATACCTCGGTAACAGTACTGTCTGTCTCTCTGTGATTTCTGTTGACTGCTAGATATCCAGAAAAATGGGCTTCCAGTGGACTGATTTCTTTAGATTTTGTTTTATGCTCTGAGAAAAGTGTAATTCTCTCACACATCACCATAACATAAAGCAGAACTTAGTCACTGTTGTCTTTTTCTGATACAGTTTTTGGTAAGTTTTCTTCTCTTGCTGCCCTAGGGTGACTTTATGGTCACCCTAGCAATATCCAGCAAGCATCAGTTTATGATGCTTGCTGGATATTAAGCTCAGCGCCTTTAAGACTGGCTCTGAGAACAAAGGCGGGGAAAAGAGGCCTGCACTTCGTGTTTAGAAACAAACTAACTGTCCCGGACAGCGGGACAGAGCTCTCCTTTTAGTTATTTGTTTTTAGCTAGCTGAGGCAGAGAAGTTCCCCAGATTATGGCTTTTCTTTTTCTTGGAACTGATTTGCCCTACTCTGGACTGAAAATCCAGAAAAACACTTGCCTTCTAGGGTAATCTGCTGAATTTTAGACTTGTCAAACCACCCCTACACAAAAGCTTGTATGTGTGTAGACCCAGGACTTACACACTGTTCACTGCTAGCACTCAGCATACTCATTTTGCATAGATATACAGGATATTAAAAATGCTGTAGAGTACTACTTCCCTAATGCCTAAATTAGAATATCCTAATTTGACAAGTGAGTAAATTAATGAGAAGTAAATCAAGTACCTTTACGTGACCTTAGCTCTTGAAATAATTTATTAGTAAATTTTGGGTATAAGCCTTAAGTGTGAGACATAGAGGTTATGGGTATTTCAGAATTATATTATATATTAAAGCCTCCTCTGACAGTGACAGTACTTCAAGCTATGTTTGAGTAGCAATTACCATGGCTTGCAGACTTCCAGTAGGTACTGCAATAATTTCTGTTCCTCAGTTTTTACAGTCATAAAGCTGATGTTTAACAATGCTAACATAGAAAACTAAGTCTAGGACCATTTTAAACATACCTTCCTCCCTTGCCATGAAATTTATGCACTCTTAAATAGAACTATTTCTCCTGAATAGAAATAGAAGCTATATAATTTATAGCTTTCATGAAACATGGTTAAAATGCCTTTGTAAGTGTGGCGTAGATAGTCTTGATAGATCAAAGAGAAAATAAATGGTTTCTCGGTCAGTTATTATTTTAGTCATGAATGTTATTTCCAGGGTAGCAGTTTTTTAGTGTCCTTTTCCCTTTTTTACCCTATTTATATATATATTTTTTAATTGACATTGACTCCTTTGCAGATTCTATAGGTTGTAACATAAGTGTTGCCCTGGTAAGTGGTAGCTGGGTAGCCTGGATATTTTAAAAGGAGTGCTGACCTCCTTGACACCAGTCCTTGGGACATGACTGAATAACCAAAGGGGAGGCCTTTAGTGGAAAAATTATTTGCATTCTCCCACTGTCTCTCAGGCATCTGCTGAGTGCTTTGCCTGGATGAGCTTTGTTGGGACTTTGATTTAGTAAATAGCTCTGAAAATCCTTCAAATTTCATGGTTGTCTATGTATATATATATTTTTTAAAAATTATTTATCTAGGGAGCTAGGTTACTGATAGTAATATTTCTAAATCAAAGCAAATTTAAATGTTTCGGTAAGCTTCTAGAATAGAAATTTTCCTATCTATTCAAATATTAGTGTCTGTAGTATCATTGTGAATCTTATATTAGCCAGGTTTTGAAATGTGTAACATAAATTGTTGAGGAGCGTCATTTTCATTGCAAGGGTAGTCTAGCACTGGACCAGAGTGCCCAGAGAAGTAGTGAAATCTCTGTCCTTTTACAGTTTTCAAGACCTGACTGGACAAAAGTTCTGAGCCTCCTGTTCTGATCTTACAGCCAGCCCTGCTCTGTGCAGCTGGTTGGGCTAGGGATTGCCAGGGTCCCTTCCAGCTGCAGTTGTCCTGGGCTCATATTTGTCACTTGCCTTACTCAGTGATGTTCCAGCACTGTCTGCCATGCTGACAGGTGTTTTAAGCAACAGTCCTCAATGTTAAAGAAAACAGTCCTACAGTTAGTATAGAAGTTCAGGTTTTAGACGCAGAACTCTAGATTCTGTTGTAAGTAATATAGCATCTTTGCCTTTTTGAAAGCAAGCTGCAGATTCCAGCTAGTTAACATTCTTTTAAAAAGACAGAGAAACATGCTTCTTTCATAGGGACCCTCACTATAAGCCACCTTGGCTTTTATTTGAAGATTTTAAACTTTCTTTTTTTTTTTTTCCCTAAGGAGGATCTCAGCTAAAAACTTGACTGGGGTTTTATTGAAGAGAGAAGGTGAAAGGATTGCTTTATAACAAGTATATGGAGTTCAACAGAAAGAAATAAACTTATCATTTCAATTTATATAAATATTTTCATTTCTATATAATATCTATGTTCAGATATGCTGGTTACATTGTTAGCATATGTAGGTTTAGAGCTACTCGGGGGCTAAGTTCATTTCCCTTCCAGTGTCTTGCCTGTGAAGCTTAAGTCAGTGGATGCCTTCATGAATCTTTACATTGACAACTTTTTGTTTCATTCAGATCAGTTGCTTTATTATTCCCACAATAAACACTCCTGTTTTATTTGCAGATTGTCATAAGCATAGGACTCTCATTTTATGTCGTTCACCGGGCTCAAGTGGAACTCAATGCAGCGATTGTAGCGTGTGAAATGGAAATGAAGACATCGCTTGTTAAAGACACTCAGCCAAGCATCAATGGCTCAACCACATACTGCAACAAGAGGACAGTAGCATTCTCTGGAGGGGGTGTCAACATTGTATGATTTCAAGTATTAATTACTAAATAAGGTGTGGTGAACCTGAGCTAGAAATATCTTGAACATTGCCTAGAAATATCTATGGACAATTGAAATAGATTTTTAAAAAATTACAAGTGATTACAGGTTGTACTGTGGCACAAACCAACTGACCAGCTCTTTAATTGCACATGGGGTGACTTCTAGCAAGACAAGGAAGATGGCAAAGTAACTTAAGATGTAAATGCAAATTTGGCTGCACCTTTGGTCATTTATTATGCCTGTCATGGCCTGTAATCTGCACTTTAAGTAGGTTTTTTTTCCTTTGCTCCTATAAACTGAGAAATGCTTCTATAAACAAAAAAGTAGCACAGAGATAAATATTTTTCTGCTTAGCATTATTTATAAGGCTAAATAATTATATACAGTAGAATTTTATTACTGATAAAGATAAATGAGAAAGTATACAATTCAATGTATGTTCTTCTTGAATGTGCTTTTGCTTTGGAATTGCTTCCAGAAGTTGGAGTGTATTATTTAGCTAATGATGGGACCATTTGGCTTTTTCTTCATTTTTGATTTAAAAAAAAATAGAACCCTATATAAAGTTTTGGTTGAATGTATTTTTCTAAGTCATTACAAATGTTGCAGAGCCATGCAAATGTATTCACACAAGCTTAAATCCTACATCGTGGGACTGAAGTGCTCTTAAATTACATTTTAAGTTACACTGTGTAATATGCAAAGTGCAAGGGAAAATGTAGAAGTTAGATTGCAATGACTATTTGAATGACACTTAATTGGTTTTGCCACCTTGGTGATTTTAACAAAAGACTGTTCCACATTATGATATTTTTAATTGTTAAAAGAATGAAGTTTTCCAGCTCACATGACTGCATGTGGTAAGGCTTCTAGAACAGGGAGCTAGATCTCTGCTCTAAACAGAAGGATGGGATATTAGCAGTGCTAATTTTACAAGAAGGTGGCCTTTATTTTGTAAGTGAATCCCCTCTCCCTTAAAAAAGCTTTAAAAATTCACTTTGGTTGGCACATCTTTTGTACTAGTTTTACATTTTTTAAAAGATGCAATCTATTACAAATTTCATTAGAGTGAAGAAACGAAAACTAGAGGTTCTCCTTGGAAAAAGAAATAATCCAGTAATGGAGAGGACAGCAATGTCTCTGAGACTCAGGAATTCTGACTCCATTTTTGCAAGACAACACTATATTGGATACTGCTCCTTTTACGCCTGCTGTGGACTGTTTTTCACTGCATTAAATAGACTGGATAACCTGATGGTAACTTGTGTGTGTGTCTAAAAGAAAAACAACAATAATGCCTGAACACAATGTTCTGTACGTGTGAGTTTCATGTAGATACACATACCAATGTTCAGTGGCTCAAACACATGCAAGTCGTCTGATACAAAAATAACGTAAAGTGTGGCTTCTTTTGTAGTTATTTTGTATGAGTTTTTAAGGATGCTTTAAGTCTTCAAAATTTTTGTGTTATTTTCTAACAGTACGACTGTGCCTCCTTTTTGTAAGGTTGGTTGTAGGGTCCAAGCAGTTTTGTCTTGGAATAGTGGGTCTTCAAGGCCTTTGGGAAGCAGAGATGTGAGAGCCTCTAACAGCCTTACTGAGAGGATGTGCAGCACTCACGTAACCAAACATCTGCGTGTTCCTTCGTAGTGGGAGTTCCATTTTGTTCCTCAAATATCCTTTGCAGATTGGAGTTCTTGGGTCCTGCAACCTAAAGAACTGAACTAGTTCAATGAAAGCAAAAAAGTTCAGATTGTCTCCTTTCTGTTGTTTAGGGGCTTTTTTTTTTTTTTTTTTGTTGGGTTTTGTTTTGGTATTTTTTGGGTTTTTTTTGGTTTTTTTTGGTTTTTTTTTTTTTTTTTTTTTTTTTTTTTTTTTTTGTTTCATTTGGTTTGGGGTTTAGTTTTGATTGATTGGTTGGTTTTTGAAAAGGCAATCTGTATCTACCTGGAAGTGTTCATTTACACATCTCTGCCTCTGACAGCTCCTGTGTGAAAACAAGAGAGCCAGATAACTTTTTGATGGCGTTATTTGTCATCATAGCGTAATTGAGTCCTTTCTTAACTAAAGAGGTTTTTTTGTTTGTTTCTTGTGAAGAACAGTCCTTCAGTGAACTGATCTGAACTTTGCTCTATCTTGCCAAATGAACAATAGTGTTTTGAAGAGGGTAGCTCTTTCTTTGCATTTTTTAACTAACTTAAGGTTGCGTTGATTATTTCAAACATTTCCCAAATATGTATTTTGAAGTGCTTTTATTTCCATGACATTTTGTAATCAGAGTAACTTCACTATGTGAACACTTTTGTAGTATGGAATTAGTTCTTAAGACTTTTGCATTTTGCTTGATACTTGTAATCTTTGTGTACAAGTTAATGGGAAATGTGCATTAAAAGGAACTTTTCTGTACCATGCCAATCATAATTTTATACAATAAATTCACTCAAATTTCTTTAAAGGAATATGTATTAAATGTTTAAGTTGCTATGATGTAGTTGGAAAGAAGGTGCAGTGGAGTCTCATCTTTATGCAGCCATACAAAGCGAATTGTCTGCATCAAAGGAATTCCATGGGTGAGGAGTTACTGACAAAGGAAACAGACTTGACTTTTACTTTCATTTAATTAAATACATACTTAATTATATTAAGTACTTTAAAGGTTTGGTATTTGCAGGTGCCTTTTTGATACAAGAATAAGCATACATGTGCTTATGAGAAACATGCTGCAAAACTGCAAGAGGATTGATATTTCTGAACATAACAGTAGCAAAAGTGATGTAATTACTATTTTTTAAGATGGGCTCCTTACCTAGTCTAGTTAAAACCCACAAAAGTATGGAACTAGTTTAAACAGTATATGGCAAGTCACCTTCAAGAATATTTTCTGAGTTGTCATGATGGTAACATTTCTGCTTTTTGTGTATGAAAGATACCTAAAGGGCAGGTCATAAAGAATCTCAGCTGCATGGTGCCAATTTTTCTTCTGCCTTGTGGTAAGTGCAAGTGTGCAGTAAATTCATCAAAATTTAACTTTAGACTAAGCATTTGTGAGAAAAACCTTTTTTAGTCCCAGAGCTTTATATACTATTTTTGTGCTAATTTTTGCACAATAACTTGAGCAAGCATTGCTTAGGTCAAGTTTGAAGAATGGAATGCTGCTCTTAGATTGTGTGTGGCTTTTGTTCCATATTGGATCCTTTGTATTCATTTTCAGCTTTCCAGCTGAGGCTGATACAATTTGGATTTTCTCTGACTGAGATAACTGGAGTCATCAGTTGTCTTGCAAATAATCTAGGATACGATACATAAAATGAAATATGAAAGTGTTCCCATTCACACTGTGGTCATTTTTCATGGCACAAGTAAAGAAATTTGGTAGCTCTGTGACAGGCTTTCTCACAGTAATTCCAAGTTGGTACTAGTCCTGTCATTGTAACGTGATGGTTTGGGCACGAGGGGACACGAATCGATTGCAGAAGGGGAGCTGATGCAAATTCTGGCTGTGCTGTGCAAAGCAGCTTGTCTCTGTCCTCTCCAGTCCTGGAGAATTAGTGATGTGCCTGGCAGCAGAGGGGTAATGAGTCTAACAAATTCTCTCTTCATGGACATTAGCATTTGTCTTGCACTACCCTGCTGTATTGATTTTTAATTTATATTTATTAGAGATAAGTAGCAAGGAGCTGAGTCTGCCATGTCAATCCTGTCACCTTCCTACTACAATATATTATCCTGGACTATTGCTAAACTTAAAATTACATTTTAATGAAGTCCTAAGTTCATTAGTGTGAGTTTAGTCCTCCTTGCTAGCCAAGTGACTAATATATAGTTGGTTGGCTCTGGATTCTCGATTCATTTGGGAAATTAGCTGGGCCAGATTTGCTGTTGTGAGAGTGAAAAGTCCTCTAACTTTCCTTCTAATTATTTAGAACTTCAGATGCATTACTAAAGAAATTAGTAGAAAAGGCTTAATGTACTGGGGGTTTTGCTTTGTTTTAGAACAAAAGTCATTAGCAAGAAGGGCTTGTTCTGCCTGATCCTTGAATATTAGGTGCCATCCTTTTTGGGAGACAGTGTTTCCAAGATGTAGTCCAAATAAGCTTATGTCAGTCGAGATAATAAAGGACTGGCTTTGGTGAAGAGGATGTAAAATTTAGATCAGTTAGTGTGACAAGTCTTTTTACGTCATGCAATCTCCAGCCCAGCACAGTCTGGCATTGGTGACTGCAGTTCACCTCCTCCTCTGGAGGAGGAGGAATTTAGAGAGCTGCAAGTTGTTCAAGCTGAAGAGAAGAAATAATGATCTGGGTATAGCTGACACAGTTTGAAGAGTTAAATTAACCATAATGTTGCTGCAGCTTTGAATACACCTAAGTGCCTTGGTTTTGTAATTGCCAAATCTTTTGGCAACTTCTTTCCAGGGCAGGGCAGCTGGGTAGCCTCGCCTAGAGGCAGGTCAGCATTTTCTTTTCTAGAGAATTCTAGCATGCTTTGACTTTTAGACCTCTTCTGAAATAATCTTCTGCTGACTTTTCTGTAAATTAGAAAGGTTTAGTTTGTCCTAATAACAGGGTGAGATCACCTGCGATATAAATCTGTACCAAGCAGTGTTCCTGCATGTGGGTGAGCTCCCTTTGCTGAATGTGAGGTGTTTCCCTCTGTTCCCTGTAAGCTGGAACAGTTTGCCTTAAAGTCTGTAGGTGACTGGGTGGGTGGGACAAAGGACGGAAAGGCCTGCGGTGATGAACTGTTCTAATAACAAATTTGCACTGTGCTTTAGAAGCTTGATTGCTTAAGATCACAAATAGTCGCCATTTAATGTGAGAAATGGTAGGTGGTGAGAGGAATAGACTAATGAATTCTCTGATTTTTGTGAGGGAGTAAGAATTTGCTTGAATAGATTATGAAGTACCCAGATGATATAGAGTTGTTTTTGGTTGGACTTTTTGGGGTGGAGAGGCGTGGGAGTGGTACTACTGGAAGTAAATAACACGGAAATGACAACAGTATGAAGCTGTAAACCTTGACTTTTTAGGACTGTTTCAAATGTCTTTTACAGCTTTGGGGGATAGTGCCTCAGAAGAAGCTGGAGTAAACACTCAAAGAGTGTTTCTCAGATTCTGGAGAGCTGCTGGATGCACACCTCTGCCTCCAGGGCCTGCTTTTTTAATTTGAGCTACAGAGGTGCAAACCAGAAGTAATGGCTAGATCTCATAAAAAGTGGAACATTATTGCTGCCCTTTTGATGTCTTATGCAGCAGCAGCACATTGCAGATGGCTTGCCTGCCTGAAAGGCTTCCTTTTTGCCTTGCTCTGGTTTGCCTAGCACAGGTGGTAGCTGGGGGAGGAAGAGCTGTGCACTTGCCATTTGATTTTCTACCAGCTGGGGAGGCAGAAATCACTGAGCTGAAGCCAGAGGTTTCTCTGTCTTTCATCCTTTCCCTGTGATCTAAAAAAACCCAAAACAAAACAAAAACAAAAAAAACCATGAAAACAAAACAAAAAAAACCCCAACCAAACAAAATAAATTATAATTTAAAAAAAAGTCCCCAAACACTGCCACCCAAGAAAGCTACAGAACTGGTAAAATTCATACCAGTAAATTAATATTTAGTATATTCTCTCATGGATGTAAATTGAGGTACAAAGCTATGATTTTTCTGTTCAGAGAGCTGTAGTAATCTCTTCCACTTTCAGCAGCTCCTGTGTGAGGTTCTGCAGTGAGCTTGTGAGGGACCAGTGCTGTGGTAGCCATGCAGGAATTTCCTTGCAGCTGACATTGGACAGAATCACTGATTTCCAACCATTCTTATGTGGCATTCAATTTTAGGGTTTCACAACTGTGGAAACCATAGCCATATGCATGTGCAGCTCCAAGGTCATATAGATTGGTGCTTTACAAGCATTTTGTGTTGTGTTCTGTGGGAAGGCTGCAGTGGTTGTAACATGTAATGTGTGTCTTCCCAGGTTTTAGTCAGAGCATAGTTGATTTTGGTGCAGTGAATTGAAATGTATTTCTCTGACTACAGCAAGCCTCCTTCCTCCTGCCCCCACAGCAACCACAGCAGTTTCAGATTCTGTACAGTTATCATTTGGTTTGCAGGCAAATAGAGGATTCTGCTATGTATACATGCTGCTCCATCATTGAGCAGATTTTTTCAGTGGCTGTCTCCTTTCAGCTGAAGAATCTGTCTTTTTTCTACCTACTTCACTCAGTCTAATGACAGACATTCTTCTTGCAATGGATGCTTCCTTTAATTAAGTTGGGTATGGTAGTGTTCTTTCAAACAAGCTTGGAGGTGGGAAAATGGCAGGGTCTGGGGAAATAACTCTGGGCTTCTCAGAGCCCTGGCATTTGCAATTGAGAAAAGTCTTGTAATAATGAGTTTCAGAAATGTTTCCATAAAGACGCAGTTTGAGAATTTAAAATTTAGAGGAGGAAGGAGAAAGTTGCAATTAGTGAAAAGAATATTAGTATACTTAGCAAGAGGTAAAAACCCTGGCAGCTATAATTAGAGGACTTTATTCTCTCCTTTTCAGTGAGTCATTCCATAAAGAACGGATTAAATATATTTTTAAAATCCTTTTTACTTGTTAAAACCCAAATAGGAAAAGGAAAGGGAGTCACAGAAGAATGTATTAACAATGCAGAAAATGCAGACTTGTACAGATTACTGAATATTAACCTTGAGACAAGGCAGAAATTTGCTTTTTTAAGTGGCAGGTATGTTGGTACAAATCTGCTTTTCTTCATTATATCTGCTCTCATAAACAGAGGTAAAAAAGTACTCAGGTAGTGAAGCACAGATGGATTTGTATGACATGGGTTATATTATCTTGGGGAAAAGTCCTTGAGTATTCAGTTTTTGGAGTTATGTGTAGAGCAGAAGTATCTGGTGTTCTCTTCCTATGCTCCACGTTGTGTATGAGCCACTTCAGTATCTCAGAATTGGGCAAATGTCTAGCTGTGATAATATGGCATAAGCCTGAGCAAATAATCCCTTCCCCTTAGCAGCAGCTCTAACCAGCTTAGAACTCGATAATGGAATTCTGGGAAATGCACCTGCACTTTCTGGTAATGTTTATCATTGGCCATAATGATATTTACAATGTTTGAGGTACCTCTGATGGAAGCCCTTTACAGGTGTACTGTGTGATTACACTTACCTAAATAAGAGATGAGTTTTCTCCTAAAAAAAAACCCCAAAAAACCTACCTCTTATTTTCCCCTATATTTAAGAATTAACATAACAAATTTGGGAACTTCTGCCTTGAACAAATGAGAGCATTTTCACCAGCTGAAGGTCCAGAAGAGCAGTGTGCCTCCATGTTTTAGCATTATAGAGTAATGAAGATTGGAAAGGATATCTAGTCTAGTCCTTGCTGAGTTAGATCTACTCTCCTGAGGGCAATATATGGTTGAGGCTTAAATATCCCCAAGGGTGGAGGATCCAGAGGCCT